TTTTTTTTTTTCTTTCATCTGACATCAGAGCCGTTTCTTTCATCTGACATCAGAGGAATGCATAGCTGGATTCCTATTGGCTATTTCAATTTGCAATAGCCAATAGCAAACTAGCTATTGCACCCGCACTGCTGCTGTCAATAAGCAGAGGGGGACCTGCCGTTCTCCATCAGGTCCCCCTCTGGTGATTGACAGCAGCAGAGGGCGGGTGCAATAGCTAGTTTGCTATTGGCTATTGCAAATTGAAATGGCCAATAGGAATCTAGCTATGCATTCTTATGGTGATTTTTTTTTTATCTGACGGTAGCAGAACCGCCCGGCCAATAGAAAACAGTTGGGTGGAGCTAGCAGTATCAGCTATTTTATTTTTTATTTTTTACTACTTTTTTACAGAGGTACCGAGCAGAAAAGCCGAGCGGCATTCGGCTATTCACTCACTGCTGTTCGGAATCTATGAGAATAGGCCGAACAGCAGCGAGTAGCCTGTCGGAGGTTCGGCTTAGCTGATCCAGATGTTGGATCGGCTGAGTCGTACTCCTTCTGCACTTCGGGTCGGCCGAACATGCAGAGCATGTTCCGCCATCCCGAAGCCACCCGATGTACGGTTGATTTCAGCCGATATACGGCTGGAATCACCTGTACCTGCCTACGGCAGCTTAGTGAATAGACCCCATATTATTGCAATGCACATTACATACGTTGGTAACTTTAGCGCTTCTCAGCACAATTGAGCTAACAAGTCTGAATAAAGGACAGAAGGTAGCATAAGTTGTTTATGTTCAGGCTATCCTTCTGTAAATGAAACTCCTCTGGGCCCCATCTCAACAGAGCAGACAGAGATGGGAGTGAAGGGGAGGTCTCACTGCTCTATCTTAATTAGATGCCTGTGTACATTTCTGCTTGTGCTATTGTGCTCTGTGAACAGGTTTTTATTTTAGTAGAGTGGCTAAAAATGAAGTCTAGAGCTTCCTCTGACCATAATAAATAAAGAAAATATATACAAAGCATTATATAATGATTTTAATGTGTCATTTTTATGTATTCATTATACACTAGACCCTGCTCTGAAAGTGAATTGGTAAAAAAAATAAAATATTTACTGGATCACTACGCAGAGTGGTGTGGAGGGGCAGCAACTCATGTACTCCCTGCTCTCTGGGTGACCTTCAGTCACATGGCACAATCTAGTGGGGATCCTGCTGTTTAGGTAATTATGTGCTATGCCCATTCATTGCAAAAAAAAAAATGGTTTTGCTCCTATTTCCAGCACAATATACTCACCCTTCCTTCACTTCCCTACCACACCATTCACTGAAGGATATACCAAGTGTATCCAAGCATTAAAGACCATGTGACTCTGTATGATGGCAATTGGCAAATCAGTGCTGTCACAGGGGAGGTCCATAGCCCTGTATAAGCTACAACTCTGTCACCTCAGAGCTTGCATGAGGCTTTTTCTTCCATCATGAAGGCTGAAAGCAGTAGCAATGGAATGAAAAAGGTGAGTGAATGCATATGTAAAGGTCTGCATTAAAGTGGTCCTGTTGCTTTGTCCTGCATGGGCAAAGCTCTCCTTCTAGGGCTCATGAGGCAATGATCTCCACCTTATGTGATGTCTACAACCTAGTAGTCATATAGTCTACTTCCTTATTAGGTGCTGTTATTAGAACCGTGATACTTTGCAGGAAGCTTATACTGATATGCAAAAAGTTGATGAGAGAGTAGATGAGAATAGGAGCAAGTCTGTATAGTAATATGTTTTACTACCCTTGCTGTTTCTTTGGGACCTTTTCATCTTTGTGACTTATGATACCATTGACACCAGTTTGTGAAATATGTTAGGATGTTTTGATGCTGTATAGAGGACTACAAAACCCAGCAATAATACATTATACAGCGCAATGTAGAATAATGTACTATTGCTGGGATTTATATTCCTCTATAGCTGGTGGTATTCTGCATTGTGCTGTATAATGTACTATTGCTGGGATTTGTAGTCATCTATAGTCGATGCCATTCTTCATCATTGCTGTATAATTTTACACTTTCCATTTCACTATATTGCACACCACTCTTTTTTTTCTTTTCTTTTTTACCTCCACCGCTCCAAGCTTGCTCCTGTGATGGACTGCAATCTCAATACAAACAACAAACTAGTAGTCTCATCACTGGAGCCATTTTTAAAAATGAATTTTATTTTGTATCCGATTAATCGAACTTAATAATCGGCTAACTAATCGATTTTGAAAATAATCGTTAGCTGCAGCTCTAGACCTCTCCATCTAATTTTTTTTTTTTACTCCACATAGGTACCCTGTATCCAGTCAGGAGAGTGAATTTCCCACTTTCAAGTGCTCCTGGGAGGGGCATAGTATGGGAGTGGGAGGAGCTTCCACATCAGTGGGTACCATTTGAAACCAGACTGTCGATCTTGATCCAGGATGCTCTGGAAAGGCAGCAGACAAGTGTGCGCCTTGGGCAACCCTGCAATGGATCTCATATTTGCTTTCAGACCATGACCCAAATAGAATTTCCTTCTCAGAAGAGAATTAGGGTCCGGGCTCGAGCCCAGATTCCATACCCAAAAGCTGGCAGTAAATGTTCTTCAACTCAGTACCATATTGCACTACCCCAATATCTTAACGCCTATTCAAATTCTAAACATGGGTCTTTCACAGTCCAACAGCAACATACTGGTTCAAGCCACGGACCAGTAAATTTTCAACAAGAGCGAGTTAACGGTAATAATGGATTATTAAACTCCAGACGAAGAACCTTCAGCCACAATCAAGAAATAGCAAAAATTAACCAAGGTCTGATGAATGCTAATCAAGGACTTGTGAACGTCAACAGAGGACTGCCAAACTCAAACCAAGGACTAATTAACTCAAACCATTTTATTGTAAACTCTAACCATCTACCCATGAATACTCACCAGAGGATAATGAACTCTAGACAAGAGCCATTGTGCTCCAGTTATGGGATGGTTGATCCTAGCCTTTTGTTGCAAAATGCAAGCCATGAGCTTTTGAATGCCAATCAGATTACAGTGAATTTTAATTCTGGAGCAGTAAATTACAGTGCTGGAACTATGCATTCTAATCATGGGATTGTGAATTCTAATGATGGATTAGTAAACTATAACCGAGACCCAGAAGACAACAGCCAGGAACTTATTAATTTTGATGCTAATGTGATTCTGCCAAATTATGGACCTTCCTCTTACTGTGAAACTACTTCCGATGATTCTAGTCCTGAATCAGGGAGTCCAAACTTGATGTTGCTTGACTCAGATATTAGCCCACAATGGGCTCCTGTACAACAAGACTATAGCATTTATAATTCTAGCCCTGCCTTAGCAAGGTCTAACTCTAGACGATCAAATTCAAAAACTGGTTTAGCAAGATCAGATTTAAGATGCAGAGACTCAAGACCTGAGCTAGCAAGATCAGAATCCAGGCCTGGAGACTACAGACCAGCATTAAGTAGAGCTAACTCAAGACCAGAAGAACACCAAGCTGTGCTGCACAGGTCAGAATCTAGGCCTGTAGAAAGTCGGCCTGTATTGCTCAGATCAAATTCTGGACCCAATGACTACAAACCTGGATTTCTGAGGTCAAATTCTAGACCTTCCCATCCAAAACCTGGATTAGTAAGGTCTGACTCTAAGTATGAATTTTCTGCATCTGATATTAGACCTTCCGACTTTAGACCTGCAGTAGCTAGATCTGACTCAAGGTACAATGAGATCAGGCCTGCTGCAGTGAAAACAGACTGTAGAAATGTAGGCTGCAGGACGGGATACATAAGGTCTCCTTCTGGACCTGAAGATAGTAAGCCTGAACTACTTAGGTCCCAATCAAGGTCCACACCAACTGACTCCAAGCCGAGTTTAGCTAGCCCTCACCACAGAATCAGCCATGCAAACCCTAATTTAGCTGGCAGAAGCCTGTCTCGTTCAGTTTCTCTTAAAGGAAGCAGAAGCCCTCCACCCTGTGCTTGCCCACATTGTCTTCTACTGCAGAGTGTAAAGTCTGCCAGCTGGCCGGGGAGACAGTTGGATAGCAAACCAGTCAAAGCTCAGCCTTATGACAGCCAGCGATGTGAGAAAAGTAAAGGCCTCACTAGGTAAATGATGAAGCTTACTACACTGTTTGATACACATTGCATACAAAATGCCACTAAAACCTTTAAAAACATGTATTTGTTTGCACTTTATAGGGTGCCTCCAGTGCCTCTCGGTAACATTGAAGGCTCAGGAATGATCCCACCAGCGCTGGCAGGTAAAATTACTACACTGTACTGTGAGTGAAGCACACATACACCCAAAATCATTAAAAGAGAACTATAGGGTAACCTTTTTTTCCCCCATAGTTCTCTTTAGGGTCACGGGAGGACATACTAACATCCTCCCGTGACCCAAAACTCAGTATATAGCGGGCTATTGTTCGCTATATGCTGAGTTCACCGCAGCCGGGACGGATCCTGACAATACTGTTGAGATCCATCCTGCTGGCTGATTGACAGCGGACTCTGCCTATCTAGAGGCAGTGCTGGAGGATTAGAGGGGGGGGATGGGAATTCATCCCGGATCGGTAGTATGTTTTCGCTTACTTCCTGATCAATAGAGCCAACGTGTGAAAGTTTCAATGCCGCACGTCGGCTCTAACTATGGGGATGAGTGTAATTCACTCAACCCATAGTTCTCCTTTAAACACTTGCAACCTGGAATTTGCAGACACAGGTTTGTGAGTTTAGGTCTTCAAATAGAAGAGAGCAACTTCTTTGTCCTGATTATAGCAATGTCACCAAGAGTTAAAAACCATCAAGTTTAACATTTCATTTTCTACCAAACACCAAAATGATAGTTACGGGAGTACCCTGTGGCCATTTTAAAAAAGCTGACCAAGCTGCAGTCAGCTTTTGAAATATCAGAGGTGCCTCCATTTGTATTTATATATCTTGTAGAGAATACTGATAGCCCAAAAACTTGGATGCTCTGTTATTCTAAAGTTGAACAACTGCTGTAGTCTGGGAGCTCAGGCCCATTCCCCTTTACTTCCCAGATTCAAGTTTGGCTCCTAAATATGATGGTAGACCTCACTGACCAAAAGTGAAACACAGCAGGGGACAGACACAAGCTGTGTTTGACTGAGTTCTGGGCTCCCAGTTTCACTACAAGAATCATAAACAATCATCTTCAGGTCAGGCAAATATTGTGTAATTACAAGAGGCACACGTATTCTTACTTAAATCTTGGTGTGCTTTGTATATTTCTTCCAGGTCTGGGATGCAATCCAGTGTGAAACCTTGCCTCTGTGCAGGGGCTTTCTGCATTACGACCAGACATTGCCGCTCTCTCTCTCTCTCTTTGAGCAGGGGGACTGGTCTTCCACCCGCCCCTTCCTGTAGGTTTCTGCAGACAGCCTGTTGTGGTGGTGGACCTGTTGGGTCCCTCCAGAGCTCTTTTCTCTGACCTGTTGGGTCCCTCCAGAGCTCTTTTGTCTGCACAGGCTATGTACATCACAGTGATGATGCAAAGGCATTAAGCTCACAGATTAGATTTGCTATGCTTTGTGTCTATGGAGGAATTGTTATTTATTGTGGAGGCCTGCCTTAACTCCACCATGGGAGCTCATGGTTGAGATTTGCTCTTATGACATCAACGGTACACATAAACTAATCCATTGCTTTTTTTTATAGGCATTAGTGGACTTCTAATGAGTGCAGCAGGGCTTCCTGTTTGTCTGTCCATTCCCGCTACCCCAATATTTAATCCGCCACCAGTAAAGAAAAAGGACATCCGACCAGTACCTGGAATCCAAGGGAGCAGCCGGAAAATAAGCAACAAAAAGAGTAGGTCTTTTAGTACTACATTAAAACACATCTTTTGCAAGAGTTTCTCTGTTGCATCAGTTGAAATATTTACTACATAAAACATTTTTTTTAAAGACTTAGCCATGCAGTGAACACTGTCCATCAGGGAGTTGTGAGGAAATAAAAATCATCACCATCACTTGGTATAGTGATAGTCTTTATCACAAATTGGCTCTCAACTGGTGGGTCCATAGATTTGTCTCTTGACAAAGCTGAGGATGAATGCTATGGCATGGAAGAGGAGAGTGCACTGCAAGGGGAAGAATTCACACATCAATGAGAAGTTTGAGTAGTTGATTAGGATATCTAGCATGTCTCATAGACGCATTTCTGCTGCAGAAAACATGCAGACTGTAACGGTCAGGCATGTGTGTAACCATACATCTTCATGGTACATCATTTTTTACAAAAATGCACATGCTTTAATGCTCAATAATACAAAAACACATCTAGCCAAGAGTCTTATATGGAGAGGCCCCAAGTTGTTAAACGCTAAGGGGGTTATTTACTATTGAGCCGAAGGATTAAGCTTAAGCATCGGCTAATCTTTCGGCTCAACTCGGCCTCGTGAGCCCTTCGGTTCAGCCGAACCTAAGGGCTGCTGTACGGGCTATTCACAATAGACCCTGGAAATCGGAAATCACCCTCCCCGTGCCGAGGGCATGTGGCCTGGTATGGCGGGGGCGCTCGCTCGCCCCCTCCTTCGGATTGGTTGGGAAATTTTAGGGGGGGACCCCACATTTTTTCTCCATGTTTTGGAGGTGGGGTTCCGCCTTAAAATTCCTACCAGACCTAAAGTGCCTAATATGACTTTTGGGGGAACCCTACACATTTTTTTTTTTAATTGGGGTCCCTCCTAACTTTCCTACCAGACCTAAAGGGTCTGGTGTGGTTTGGGAGGGGAATACCACGTCATTTTGTTTTAAATTGTTATTTTATATACATGTCATTTTATTATTCTCGCTCGCTGTTCGGCGGCATTCGGCTATTTACTCACTGTCGTTCAGCCCCTATGAGAATAGGGGCGAATGGCAGCAAGTGAACTGCTGGAGGTTTGGCTCAGCTGATTCAGATGTTCAGTCAAATGTGTTCTTCACTTCACCTCAGAAGAACATGAAATCAGCCGTACAGAGCTGAAGTGAATAGCCGAATGGCGTTTGGCTCACTTCAGCTCGGTTATCCACTCGGCTGCCTTCAGCAGCTTGGTGAATAACCCCCTAAAAGTTCATCTTTCAATACTGGGAACTCTAAATAGCCCACTACTGTCACCTGCTGGACATCAGAGGAAGTGCAGTGTCATCTCTTATTCCTCTTCCATTGTCTTTGCTTTTCTGTTTGTGCAGTGGTGGTTATGATCTGTGTTTTTTCTCTCCCAATCCTAAAAAAACTGACCTTTGCCTTTTTTTGATAGGTAAAAAGCCAGAGGAGATGATCAAGCAATTCTTGCAAAGAGTGAAGACTCCATTATCAGAGGTATCAGTCTGTTGTATGGTTTAATCATTAAAATGACACTAAACTCAGGAGTTAAATCTTAAAAATGCATTCAAGTACAGTAACTATTAAGAAAAATGTATCTTATTTGAGTATCACTCAGCTATAGTACCTCAAATCTTCTCTGAATTGGTGATGACACTGTCCTTCCTTCTGGATGTTGGCTACTTTTGTTCCCCATGGTCCCTGTGTATGTTGTAAAGTAGTCACCGCTCCAAGCTCACACCCATGATGTACTACAATCTCAATACAAATTGGTAAACAAAATATGGGATTATAGGGAGATTTATCATTCCTGTTTAGGCTTGTGACCATTGTCAGAAAGTGAGGGAAAATCCCAAATGTTACAGTTGCCACCAGAACAGGAGGTGAGGAGAATTATTCCTATGGGGAAACCTGTTTTAGTGACAACATTTCCTGATGGGAATTCCCTCACTTATAAAGGGGATTTTATTCCAGATCAGGATGTGAAGGGAATCTCTCTAAAGATGGCCATATTGTTCTGAAATTTCATCTGAGTCATGATGAAATTCAAGCTGTATGTGGCCCTGTTTGCGCATCTCCTTTCGACAAAAGTCGATTTTTGAATCAATCCTGAAAATGATTGCAGCCAATCAGTTGCAGTCACTGTTTGAGTATTCTGAGAGCCGCGGGTGCCAGCTGTCATAAATCAATAGTCCATGTGTATTTGAACTAGAAGAAGCGCAACTGCTTAACACAAACATTCATTGCTGGTATTTTGAACCTCCCTGTTTCTGATCAAGTGACCCATGCCTAGAGTCTGAGATCCATAAGACTATAGTCAAAGCCCTGACGTCACTGGTTGCCAAATGCTGAGCAGAACGCACCCCGCAAGGGCCCCCATTCCCCCAGATTAGCGTGCACCGTCGGATCAAACTCCCCCCCCCACCCTTCCCACCAACGTGAAAACTTTAGAGAAACCTCTGATCAGAGGATTAATAAAATACAGTTCTTCATGTTGACTGATTTCTAAAGCCAGGTGACCCCTAGCAAGTGACCCCTGCTTTGTGTAAAGCTGCTGAACTCAGGCAATCTGAACCTTGTGTAAGACTGTTTAGCTATGATTTGAAGAATAATCAGGTCCAGTGCTTCACCCCTACTTCTATTAGCATATAATAGCCTAGCAAGGGCAAGTGTTTTTATCCCGTTCAGGCTATGGTGCTACTGACAGTATATGGCCAGACAGGGATTTTAATCCTTCCCTACTCTATACAAAACACAAACAAAAATTGTGGCTTTAAATATACACCGATCAACCATAACATTATGACCACATGCCTAATATTGAGTAGGTTCCCCTTTTGCCACCAAAATAGCCCTGGCCCGTGGAGGCATGAACTACACTAGACCTCTGAAGGTATGCTGTGGTATCTGGCAGCAAGCCATTTGAGCTAGCTCTTCTATTGGATCGGACTACACAAGCCAGCCTTCAATCCCCATGTGCCTATGACCCTGTTGCCGGTTCACTGGTTTTCCTTCCTTGGACCACTTTTGGTAGGTCCTGAGCACTGCAGATTGGGAACATCCCACAAGAGCTACAGTTTTGGAGTTTCTTGGACCCAGTCATCTAGCCATCACAATTTGGCTCGTCAAAGTCACTCAAATTCTTACACATGCCCATTTTTTCTGCTTCCGACATATCAACTTCTGGGACAAAATATTCACTTGCTGTCTAAAGTATCCCGCCCAATTCCAGGTGCCATTGTAAACTGATAATCATTGTTATTCACTTCACCTCTCAGGTCATAATGTTATGGCTGATCGGTGTACTTGAATCTTCAGAACCTGAGACAACTAATGTTACTTGACCTGTGGTTTTTGATGGGTTTTTATCAATAAACATTAGAATGTCATATAAAATTTTGCTGGCCCTCAATCATGTTCCAGTGATGGTTTCCTTCTGCTCTAATAAACTGGTAGACTGATGGCTGCCCTCTAGTCAGAACCATTATAAATTCTGATTGGCATCGGTTGTAGTTCTATGACGTCCACCTAGGACAACTCTTGGCCTTTGCTACAATTGCAGTTTATGTCAAATAATTTTTCTTCACTTAGTACAAGTGTATTTTTTATCTTTTTGCCCTCAGGACTGCGCTTTGTGTGATCAACCAATGACAGACGGAGAAGTTGGCAGATTATACCGCTGCAGTCATGCCTATCATGTTCGCTGCCTGTCACCTCTGTACAAGGTAAAAACATCAATGTAGTTTTATTCTAAGAGATGCAACTACATTTAGAGGTGAAGCCTAGGCTTTCTGATTGCAACTCTGTATAGAGCCATGCAGAGAAGAGGGTTGTGGACAATGGGGTTGAGTCACTCCTCAGACTCAGCTGTGAGTGTAATCTAAAATTTAACTAGTCAATTTATTCAGTGTTTTTATCAGTGAAGCAGATAAGGTTAGCCTGGTAAAATATGAAAAGGTGCCTAGAATTTTACGTGCTGGCTTAAAGCTGAACTCCGGGCAGATATAAAAGACACAGACTAATGCACCTCTATTTGGATAAATACATTATTAAATGTATTCTTTTAAATGCAAGCAGCGTAAGTACCTGTTTTTGACTGGTGTCAGCCCCTTGCACTGCAATAGCTATGTGCTGAGGAGAGAGCAGAGAAACAGAGAGATGAGCTCATCAATCTGCTGCTTCTCATTTCACCATCCAGGCACTGGCTGAAGAAGGGACAAGACCTGTAAATGTTACTTTATGCAGCAGAGAAAAATCATGTCTCATTTGCTGCCAGACAGGGTTGTGCTCTGTAACTGAGCTGTGTACATTTCAAGACTGGATGGGCAAATACTAATTTTGACAGGTAAAATGTCTCCCACATATCTATGTCATCTGTGTATTTAGCTGTGTGCCTGGAGTTCAGCTGTACAGTAGTTAAAATGGTACATTTATATACTAGATTTGATTTCCCATTCAACTGATTAAAATACATGAAAATGTACTATTGCAATGTTATTGTTAGATTCTGGCCATTAAAGATTTTTATTGGGATTGTGGTATTCCTGTACAGTATCTTGTCTGTTGGTATGTTGTCATTTCTACAGTTATGTCACAGTTATCCCAGTTTTATTGAGACATGGGCACTCTCTTAGTGCAAATATAGAGCAATCCTTTCAATGTTCACATTTAGTATCTGAGTCACTGACCCGAAACAAGCACGCAGATCCAGAAAGTAGGAGTTACTGATCTGCTTACTTGCTCCTGGCTAAACCACAGGTATTAAATAATAGGTTAAACACATAGCCAGGCAAATTGCATTTTCCATAAGGAATGGTTGTAAACATTATAACATTGGTCTCCCCTCTTCTTGCCATAGGATGGGACTTTGCGCTGCCCAACATGCCAGACATTGTACGGTGTGAAGATCGGGTCTCAGCCTCCAGGGAAGATGTCTTTCCACATCATCCCACATTCCTTGCCTGGTTATTCTGAATTTGAGACCATACGCATAATCTTCCATATTCCCCCTGCAGTACAGGTAAGCCGGGCAACCTACCAATCAGAGAAAGGCTAATGCCAAACACTGTTACTGTACAAAAGTCAAAAATTAGACCCTAAAATGAGCAGCCGGGATGGTTGAGAGCTTCATGTCATGTCATTCATTGCTATACAACCTCTTTTTTTCCCCTCTGAAAGATAACTTCTAGCAGGAGGTGAATTGAGAACCATTAGCTTGCTTTATCATATGGGTGGGAAATGGTGTTCCTGGAACACCAGATTACTCAGAACAAGGTAATGTAAAAGGGAATGTATAGTGTATGTTCACACATAATGTGAGCTGCCATTGCAGTGTCTACCTTCAAGCAGTGGTGTCCCCAGCTTTTTCGCCGCATGAGGCAAGGGGGTTTGGGGTGCTGGTGGTGCACATTTGGGGAGGTGGAGTGGTGTTGGCAGTGGGTGTTTCTGGGAGGTTATTGTGCTGGTAGTGCATGCTAACAGGAAGGTGATAGTGGTGGGGGGTGTGGATCATCTCACTGCTCAGCTCTAGCTCCAGCTATGGCCGACACCCTGCCCAGCTCATTGACGTCATTGGTTGCCAGGAACTTGGCAAGATGCCAGCCAGTGTTCAGGATTGGTAAAAGCTGGGTGGGGAGATGTGTATGGCCCTTACACATCATCCTGCTTGCTTCTCAGCAACCTGGGATGCTGTGGCCAGAAAGGGGGCCGCAGGCACACTGCAAATATTGTGCTGCAGAGTGGCCATGCCGCTATGCCTGACGCCCCACACCCCCACCCCATGTGACACACAGAAATGCCGCCTGAGGCAACAGACTCAGGCTGCCTCAATACCTCAATAGAGGGAAGGCCCTACCTTCAAATACTTTTTTTAATAAATGACTTTCATAATTTACAAGCTTGCACTCATGTTTTTCCATTAAATGTGTAGATTAGCCACTAGAGGGAGGGTTCAGTGCTGTCTCTTTTGCACTTTCTCTACCACTGTTAATATGAGATTTCAGCCAGATAAGTAGTGAATTGTTTTTAATGAGCGGGATAATATACAGATTTGCATTTCAGAAGGAGCAGTAGAATTCAACCATTGTAAAACACTGCAAAGCAGAAAGGAGAACCTCGCATGCAAAATGTTACTAGGGCTGCCCTTGTGTACATATTATAATTACAAATTATACATAGAGACAAGATTAGCACATATTAATCAGATTGTTTTCAGCAATAGATTATTTACATTTACATGGTTATCTAAAATGTATTAAAAAAAAACGACAACTTTAGATTGCTTTGAAAAATAAACTATAATATTTTCTCAATACCTTGGTTAGTAATATAAACGTAAAAGTTATACCAGATAACGTAAAAAACCTTATCAGTGTATATGAATGTTTTCAAAGCATTGTTTCTTCTTTGTTTTGTAAATACACATGTACATGAAGGCAGCTATATCTGCTGATTACATAGGCAGACTTTTTTCCTGCTTAGGATTGCTGTACCGTGACTGTGTTATACTGCTTCTCTCACTCAGTACAAGTCTATAGATCAGATCTGACCTGACTGAAAACAATAGACTCTGAAACAGCGTTTCTCAACCTTTTTTAGTCATTGCACCCTTTAATAATATGTAAAATCTCCGGGGACCCCAGTCTAAAATGTAAATATTAAAAAATGATATGGGGTTTCCCCCAAAATCTATACCAGACCCTTATCATTGATAGGGGTTTGGCATGGATTTTAAAGGAGGACCCCACACAAAAAAAGAACCAAAAAGACATTGAATTCCTCCCTACACAGAGTCCCCTCCTTTTCATATCAGAAGCTCCCCACTTCCTATCAGGAGTCCTCTTCCCATCATATTCCCTTCATATATTTCATATTTTGTTATACACCCCCAGGGGTTATTAAGGTCCTTGGACCACAGCTGTGGAATTGGCTTACTTTCTGAGGTAACGGTATCAGCTCGCAGCTCTACCTCCGATGCCCAGGTTGTTGATAAGGCCTGGAGAGAGCTGCTTTACATCATACCCCGTTTAGCCCCCTCAACCTGCTCTTTCCACTTAAGGTTTTCCACCTGTAATTATGCCGACAGTATACACAGAGGGATTCCTAGGAGGCGGGGTAAATGGTTACCAAGCATACAGTGGAGCAGTCCTTTGGTTATGCTATAGATTAAGGTTGCAGTACAACAAGCATTTGCGTAGGAATGCAGCTATGTGTTAGGTTAAGTTGCACACACAATACAGGTGAGGATGCATACAGTTATGCGTTAGGTTCAGTAGGCATAGGGTTTAAGGTAGAGTAGACTGCAGTAATGAATACAGCTGATTAAGCAGATAGGAATTGCTGTGGAGATCCCCCTACCGTAGCCTTATGGCTATGGTAGAATACTTGCTGTTTGTGGCTATGACAGGTATGGATGGACGTCTGCCGCAATCTCCTTCAGTGTTGGATCCTGGAGCAGCAGGGCTGTCGGTTGATCAGCGTCCTGCTTCAACAATAGTGGGACGCCGATCAAACGGTGGATCGCGGCTTTATGCCGACTACTCGGGTGAGTGGGCGGAGTCTCGAGGCGCGCCTGCGCATTGATACTGCCGGACGCTGTACGAGAGTGGGAGGAGTCCCACAGCGCGCCTGCGCAGTGGTGCGTACGGCTCGTTGTCCCGGCCGAGGGGTGTGAGGAGTATCACATATTTTCACCTTCACATTCATAGCCCCCTTCATTTTAGGATCCCCCTTTACATCAGGGCCCTACTTTATAATCTTCACCACATTGTTGCTGCGGCAGCATGACAGAGGGTGGGACAAGGAGAGAGATAATTTATGATTCTGTTTATGAATTACAGTAATCAACATATAAAATTATTTTTAAAAATGACTCAGGTAAATGTTGTGATAATAACTCTAAAAATGTACTTAATGAAAATATACTATAGATACCCTTCAGACCAGGCGTCTGTCAGTCTCACGTTTCAAGCAGGGGTTTGGATGACATGCAGGGTTTAAGAGTGTGTAAGTGACCACAGAACTTAGCATGGAAGATCTGATAGGAACAAGGACTGGCTGTACTCTACATGAAAAAAACTTTATGGTATACAGTGATTATAATGATTGTTTAAAATGAAATGTCTGTTCTGTTGGTCTGTGTCATTCATGGTGTCATTTTCCCACTGCTTAGGGTCCAGGTCAGCCCCATCCTGGTATGAAGTTTACTGCTCCGGACTTTCCTCTTCACTGTTACCTCCCTAATACCAAGAAAGGAAGAGAGGTAAGTGTACATGCAAAGTTATGTTTGGTCAAGAAGTATCAGAAGGCATTTTAAATTACCATTGATCTGAGTGTTTATAATACAGCAGACTTTTCAGAGTGCTTCTGAGGGACATGGAGACCTCTTGTCAAGCCTATGGGTTTGCACTGAGACCTGACATGCAAAAAACTGCAGAGGATGGTTCTTAGTATGCATTTAGTAGGCTCAGATTCTGGAGATTTCAGGAAATGAAGAAATAAGCAATCATGGGAATTGCAGAGAGAAGGACAAATGTCATAGATAGGCGTCAGGTTGAATGTTAGCAGCACTTTTTAGGAAGGCTACGTCTCCTTAAGATGGCTAAACATATTGCAATTTGACTGTACAATATAGACAACCTCTGTTAGACATGCTAACAATTATGGCACGCAAGAGCCTACTTTAACAATCTATTGCATTTATATTCAATCAGATAGGTACTTACATAACATATAGTAGCAGTCAGTAAATTAAAAGGAGATTGTATGGTCAGATTGTAACGTGTCTTGTGTTGTTAGATGGATAAAATGTAAATATTCATGTTTTACCAGAGCATACTTTTAAAGCAGATCTATACATTAATGTAAGGTGACTTCAAAATTAACCACCTCTCAGGATATAATGTATGATTAAAGAGAGCTATCTGATGCTAACTTCTCTTACGTAATTCATGAAACCACCACAACACTGGCCATAAGGGAGACTAGGCACTGGTTAAATGGCCTGTCCTAAAGTGGAGGATCAGTATGCATACACAACCACAAAGTGACCTGCTTTGTCTAAATGTAAGTCTAGCAAACCACTTCAGTAGAGAAGATGTGACCAGTTCCCTTATCCTTGTTATTATGGCCAATGGCAGAGAGCTTCTAAAAGAGAAGAACAGTCTTTGGGTTAAATGTAGAAACATACTATAGGTTGCAGTGAATTTTGCTCTTGTACTTACACAGGGTTGCTTTAGTTCAAGCAGCCCAACAGGGATTTCCCTGACCCATAGGTCACCTGACAATCTGGCATGGAATATGTCACGTTTACCATATCATTTTCCTGGATTTGGAATAACTAATCACAAGTTAGAGACTTTGCTCATTGTTTAATTCAATGTTGTTGTTTTTTTCAGATCCTGCTCCTCTTAATAAAAGCCTGGGAGAAACGCCTCCTCTTCCCTGTCCTCCCATCACGCACCCCTGGTGTCCTTGATTCTGTCTCGATCTCCAGGATTCCACTCAAGACCGAGTTTGGCTCTAACATCACTGGCAAGGGCTTCCCTGACTCCCGTTACCTGGACAGCGTCTTGCGGCAGCTACGGGACTGGGGGGTGTCAAATGACTGATGCCCCTTTATATACCAGCATAGTTTGCTGAAAGTCGTTGCAATGGTTACATTAACCAGTCACTCCTCACATATTCTGTTGTCTGCTTTTAGTGCAGAAAAAAAGTATTTACATTTGTATATATATTTCTGTGTTTGTACATATTATCTTCTGCTCAGAGTGCAGGTTCTTTGCAGGTTCTTTCATCACCAGCACTTTTTGGCGCATTATAGACATTGTATTTTTTTTATTAGCTCAGTAATTAAAGTTGAAATCCATTTTAAACAGTCATCTACTGAAGAACCTCTCTCCAGGGCTGGTTCCATGGACTTGCTATGCCTTTTTACTAGGTCTGGTTCCATGGACTTCCTATGGCTTATCCTTGAGGTTGGTTCCTGGAATGTGCTATGCCTGGTTATCCCATCAATGCTCCTTCTACTATGGCACAGACGCACCAAAGTCTATATGTCCATCAACAGCCCAACTCCTGTCAAAACATTTTCTTAATATTGAATACCATGGGCAAAGGCGTGTGTCCCCACAGAGACTTTACCTCATTTCCTGTATTGTATAACATCACCCGAACCAGAAGAGAAGGAAAACCTTTTAAGTGGTAACACAGATGGGAAGAAAAAACAAGTTGTAGCTCATTCCCTTTGTACTGGTTTGTTTTTTCATTCTATCAGTGTCCCCATTATACACTTATAAAATTAAAAGGTGAGAAGCGAAGAGAATGCTTTACAATGCAGGTAATGACAACAATAACAAATTGACAGAGGATAGACTGTCAAGTGGAGCTATCAAGTAAAAGTAAAACTTTGGTCAGGTTGTTCTTTGGAGAGGCCGAACCCTGCTGAAGACACTTTGAAGGTTCAGAGCGCACAGTGACGGGTCTGTCAGCACTGCTTACATCACTGATATTTAAGGATCCAGGAGCCATGACATAAGAAAGCATATGGCTGGTGTAAACGGGGCACTTAGTGGAGGGAAGTGGGCAAATGCTCCTAAGAAAAGTTGAAAAATGCAATGGAGGCTCCCAGGAAGCTCCTAAAGAGGAAGGAACCTTGTAAGATGGTGCCCCGGTTAGTGGGTTATGGTATGTGTGGGACAGATGTAACTGGTGCTGAACAGGGACCCAGTCTGTGCTCCACTGGCTCAGACACTGTTTGTGGCTTCTCTAACATACATAAAGCATGAGACTCTTATTAACTGGATCATGACTGTGCCTCCTTATCTTCTCCCCAACTGTCAATGAATACTTGGTTGGTTATTGCTAGGGTAAGTGTAATCCAGCTACAGGGATGAGGTCGGTCTCAGCACAGAACCCAGAAAGATCCCTCAGGGGGTCTTATTTAGCAGTGGAGAGTTATTGAGAGTACAACTTCATAGACTGGTTACTTAATTGTTGTCTGTCCCCACTTTTACTGGTATTTGAACAGCAGTATTTTGAGTATGCCTTGAAGCCTGCAAAGAATTTGCACCTGATGTCTGTCTGCTTGTTATCAGCCTGTCTCTAGGAGATGAATCTTTCACTACTGCAATTGGTTTATTTGTTTAGAACCAGACCATATTTGCTAGTTACATGATAGCATGAAGTGTGCCACACCCAGAAAGAATTTAAAGGGTCTGTCCTGCCAAAATTGGTCCTAAATTATAGCTGAACTTGAGCAGTGAGGTCTCATCTTGACAGTTTCCAGTTGTGCATCACCCTGCGACAGGTTTGTTGGCAACTGAGTGAGTTCCATTCTTTCTGCTACATTCTGTGTAATGTAACTTGAAGAATCAACCCCTTCATAATGGCTATGGCAGGGGATTGGAACTGGAAGCGCCAGTTGATTAAAACTCCCTTGTAATGGCCATGGCAGGTGAGCATAGCTGGGAACCTCAACAGACAGATTTTTATTGACACCCGCTAATAATGACCAGAGCAGGTGGGTAGAACTGGGAACCCCAGTAGGGAGATTTTTATTGACATCCCTCGTATTGGACATGGGAGGGGTGTGGAGCTGGAAACTTAAATAGAATTAAAGTGATATTAAACCTCCCCCTTCGCCCCCTGCACGGGTGCCTCCACCAGCTAAGCAGCTGCTATGGAGGCACCCATGTGTGCTCATTTCCACCTGTGCCTGCAGTAGCTGTGTGTGTTCATAGACACACACAGCCCTGCAGCAGGCCATACCCCTCCTCTCCGCCCAGCAGTTTGACTGATGGCAGAAGGAGCCTATGGCACCTCTGCCCTCAGTATCCTCCCCCACAACCCCGAAGTTCGGGACGGAGGATCGCTTCAGGGATCGGCGGCACTGAGAAGCGGTGACGGGAGGTAACTGTGGGGGGGGGACGAGGGACACTAAAAGGTACTGGGTGTTTGTTTACCTTAATGCAGAAAATGCATTATGGTAAAAAACGCCCAGTCTTTAGTAATACTTTAATTTGTTGTTAGACTTTAGAACCTTAAGGGTCAACCAATACACAGACATTTACCCAGGGCTGATATATCAGTTGAAGGTGGGCTAACTCTTTAAACGGCAAACCAATTACATTTTAGAATAACAAAGTATTAAAAAATTAATTATTAACAATTTATCTTCAAAAAGATACTTTACCCCTAAAGAATAAAGGTGAGCAGGAATACTCAAAACTCCTAGTAAGGAGAACTGAAATAGAATAAAAGAAGTATGGCAGCTAAGAATATGTTGTACACCATGAATCAACAGTCCAAAGTTTTTTTGTAGCGATCACATCACAGTGTCAATGCAACATTTTAAGGCCATATAGGACCTCTTCAGGCGTGTCAGGAATTATGGCACGGAGATCTCACACAGCGAGTAATATGTAGACATATAAGAAATAAGGATTTATTTGCACAGTCCAACAGGATTCACGTATAACTAAAATACCACTTTTGGGGGGACATGCCCTTTAAGTTTTTATGGACTCTTTAAGGATGGCCCTTGGATCACATTGATGATCGTAAAATTGGTTGAATAATTGTAATTTTGCTTAGTGTGGTTGTCTCAGCAATAGAACGTTTAATAAACATGTGGCTAGTTTGAAGCTAAAAGAATAGTTTATTCTTTTGATTAAACTTCCAGAAGATAAGGAAAGGAGCAATGCTTGTATATGTGTCTTTAATACAGCTTGACATTTCCCAGTATACTTAGAACATGGTGGAAATGACTCAAATATACAGCAGTTTATAGTAACCAGACAATGTCTCTTTTCAGCCTGATATATACTAATCTGTGACATGGCAACATGCATAATGTATTAGTGCTATTAACAAAAATATTTGGAGTCAGAGTTTCCTTTTAAGTACAGATCTTGATGCTCGGTAACCAATCAGATTGTTCCTTTTGTCAACCCTAGGGTGTACTCATACTCAAATGTTGACTTAAAGCTATGTCAGCAGTTTTGCTGGCACTAACAGAAGGGCTTACCTTTCTATGAGAAAATGCTACTCCATCTTCCCTGGTGCTGGCTCAAAGCCTAGGCATTGGGTCATGTGATTTCTATTGAAAGGGAAGAATAAAGTTTACATTTACTTTTCTGCTATATATGCTAGTCGAAAACAATGGAAAATATGGTTGGTTTCCAGAGGTAACAAAGTCCATCCTTCCTTCAGACACATTGATCATTAAGGCTGGTTATAAAAAAATTAAGACATTCAATGATTTTATCATTTCAGCCAAAAGGGGAAACTTCTGAAAATGCTGATTGACTGCCTGTCATGCACATCCAATGGCTTCAATACCTTCTGAGGCACTGACCTGGAACAAGTACGCAGAATTAGAATTGACTGTAGTCTGCCGGCTTGTTCTCGGATAGAAACTCAACCCTACAAAGTTGTCAATTAAAAAAAAAATACTTCAAACTTGACATCAAACTTGAGTCAAGTTGCTTGAAATTTGCACATATGGCCAGCCTAAGAAAATTTAACCAAATACACTCTATGGACAAAGTTTATGGACACCTGACTGTTACACTTCTATAATCTTCTTGGGCATCCCTTTCAAACATTATAGGCTTTTATATGGCATTGCCTCTTCTGGGAAGTCTTTCCACAAGATTAAGGGGTGTGTCTGTATGTAAAAAATGGGCCTTCCTCAAACTGCTATCACAAGGTTGGAAGTGCAGTGCACAGTTGTCTAAAATGTCTTTGTATGTTGTAGCATTAACAGTACCACTCATCAGAGGCACCTGAACTCAATCATTTGGAGTGGTGTCGCCATACAACATAGAGTAGCTAGTTGGCTGCTATAGTTTTGGCAAAAGTTGAGTCTTTTTAGCGGGTTTATTTCCCCCTGGGAATTCATGTTTTACATCTGGGTACTCTGGGCATCAGCTAGAAAATGCATACTGTTCCTGATTGCTCATAGTAATCAATTGATTTCCAGCTGTTTATTTTTATTTTTTTACCAGAGCAGGTAAGAGCATGGAAAGATGGCTCTGATCCTGATTTACAAGCTTTTTATCTTTTCATCCACTTTTCATCTGTTAGGTCATCTCTCCTCTGGCAATAGAAGGTTATTTTCCTATTAAATCCTTTGGTTCAAAGGCTATTCAGAGAAGCTATTTTAGAGAATTTTTGCATTGGCAGGCAGAATTGTATTCCAAGTTAATCTTTACTTTGTTACTATGTGTTTTTTATATTTTTATATAGCTTTCTTATAAAAAAAATATTGATATAACACAAAATGTTATCATGTAGAAAAATCTGGGATACAGAATTTGTGAATTATTTGTACTCCAGGTAAAACACACAATGCATTAATAAAATTGCAAAGTGCAAAATCATTTATCTGTGCTTACTTTTTGTCTTTTAAATTGGCACTAGAACAATATTTTCACTTACCTACGAACTGCCCTTTTCTTTGTCCTTTGGATGCTCCTTTGCAATTTCCTAAAGAGATGGGGTTTCGTGAGAAATGGATTTCTGCAACACAGAATACCACAGTAGAGCTTTCTCAAGACAGAAGGTTTTCAGATCTTATTCAATCTGTTAATTTAAAAATAAGTCGGTTAATCCTATAGTGACATAATGATCTATACATCTAGAACTGCTGGTGTATAATGCAGATACAGTTTAATATTATGGAGCCATTTATTCCACACTGCATACAGCTATTTCAGGCTTGTTGGCCATCATCAATGCAGTGTATGGAGATGATAGCTTCCATGGAGTTGGAGTCAGGGACCTATGTGAACATTTAACCGAGATGGTTATGGTAAAGATGCACAGAAGTAATCAAATGGCCCTTG